TTCTGTTCCATATGTATTCCTGCCCCGCTTTTAACTTCTTATCTGGAGGCAAAGTAGATTGCAATTCTTCCATATCCTTTTCAGAAAGTGGTTGTGACATTTCTTGAGAAAAAGCAGCAGATCTTTTGGATTGAGAGCTCTCCATCTTCAATATAATTATACACAATATAAGTAATTTTTAAGTAACAATTATAAACATATAACATTTTATAAAAAAATGTGAGAACAACTTACATTGCAAGAGTAAGAATCCGTGGTTCTTGTTGATCCTAAACATATAAAACGATAGAATTCAATTACAATTCAAATTGAATTCACAAAATAAACAGAATACATACAAATATACAATACACCAGCAAGGCAGCAAGGCAGCAAATTCTACAATATGAACTAAATTCGAAAGAAACAGATTTTAAACAGATTTATCAATCTACTTTAAACAGATTTATCAATCTTTTCTGATTTATCAATCTACTCCCAGCAAATTCACAGAATAAAAATGAACTAAAAATCAAAACTTACAAACATGCAAACATCAAACAATCATAATAAGCAATTGAAATACAAAATACCCAATTGAAATATAATTAAATTTAATTTTTTTTTTTTAAAAAAAAGAACTTACAGCGTCGTTGCAGATGCAGGGTGTAGTCGTCGACTCGTCGTTGCAGGATGTACAGCGTGTAGTCGCTGCTGGTCTGGACCGTTGGACGTCTGGTGGGTGGTGGCGACTGCCGACTGGTGTCTGGGCGCCTGGGCGGTGGTCTGGAGGGAGTGGGTGTTGAGAGAGAGAGTGAGTCAGTGAGTTAGGGTTAGTGTGTTTACAAAAATGAAACTGACTTCTTTTGAAATTTGGGAATTTTTTTTTATATATAAAAAACGCATTTTTAACGGGTTTCAGGTCCAGACCTGAAAACCCCGAGTTTGGACCTGATCCGGACCGGGACCGGAAACCTTGATTTTCAAGGACCGGGACCAGACCTGAATCTACAGGTCCTGGTCAGGTCCGGTCCCAACAGGTCTGGGTCAGGTCGGTTTTCAGGTCCAGTCCTGTTCATGTACACCCCTACCAGCATCAATAACCACTCGTAAGTGGCGAAATTCCTGCGCATAATATTAATAAAAGGAATGTACAACGTCCTATACTCTAGTAGAAGTTATGGTTAAATATAAAACCCCATAACTCCCCCCCCCCATATGTTCATACTCAGGGTGTATACGTTCCAAGAGTTTTGTGCTTAATCTTTTTCACTTTACGTTATTTACAGATTATTAAACTTGGTGATGACTCTCAAACCATAATCATTCAATCAACAATAATTATTCAATCAACCAAATATACCAGTTTAATTCTTGAATAATTAGTTACCACATAATATTTAATGTTGAATCCTTTTTAATTCTACCTCGGTGCCAATGACACCTTAAACGCATAAAGCGCCACAAATCCTATCCCTCGGTGTTAAAAACACCTTAAGTGCACTAAGGCACCAACATAAAATTTATTCCTTGTGTACATAGACACTTATATAGTTCTTTCCTCATGCTTATAGCATCAATAAAAATTATATGAACCCATAATAAAATTCCTTTTCAATATTCAAACCAAATTAAACATTTAGTTTTATTAAACATGCTCTCTAACATGCCATTAATAAATATGTGGTTCATAAATAATATTCCAAACTATTATTTTCCATTCAATAATCCATCACAAATAAATCATGCTTCATAATCCAATCACCAATAACATCCAAATCATAGGTTCCATTCCAAACCTAGCATGATACTACTTGTAATCAATCAAACACATTTAGCATGCTACTACATCAACATAATTATGCTAAGTACGCGAACGTACCTTCTATACGACCTTAGAATCGCCACGACTAATAAAAATCGCTCACTTCAAAGTCTCCTACAATTTAAAATTATTGAAGAGTATTAAAATCCACTTTACACAAACTTTCAGCAATATATACTATTATAAAACCCCTCATAATTTAATTAAAACAAGCTGAAATTATATTTAAAACATCATACTTTAATCCCAATTAATGGATAATTAAAATTCCTTAAAGAAACTTGATTTTAAATGCTTTACTAAAAATTCCAACATTATATTTTAATTAAAACTTGCTATAATTAAGCCTTAAAACACTTTAATTAAAGGTCTAAACCATTATACATCGTAACCCTTCAATAATTTACAAATCAAGAACCTAGGATCTTAAAAATTGGGGTTTTTTAATTAAAAACATAATTTGAAAATTAATTAACATAATACTTATAATCAAACATCAAAGTCAAATCCCAAAACTCATAATTAACAATTAGAATTAGGCATAGATTAGTTTTCAACATTAAAGTTTTTTTTATATGTGTTCGAAAAAAAGGGGAGAAAGAAAACAGCGGCAACCACTACGCCAGTGGCTGTCTGCAGGCGGCGGCGGCTACCTGCTGTTGGTGGTGAAGGGGCAGCCAAAAAAAAAAAGAAAAGGGGAAGGGGAAAAAGGAGAAAGAAAAAGAAAGAAAATAAGGAGAAATGAGAGAGAAGTTTATCTTGGGTTTTCGCCACTTTGGGCAAAGTTGATTTGCCTCATAAGTGATTAGGCAATCAAACAATTTGATTTCCTCAAATAACGAAAAGGAATCTTGTAGAGACAAGAAGTTTAGTGGGAGCAATTGGTCTTCTTGGTCATGTATGTAGATGACATACAATTCATATGAAATGACTCTAGTCCGACTTTGTGAAATGACTTGAGTGGTGTAGGATAAGTGGGAGCTTCGGCGCAAGTGAAATACCACTACTTTTAACGTTATTTTACTTATTCCATGAGTCGGAAGCAGCCCGCAGGTAGCGCGCGCAACTCACGCAACCAATTTACATGCGCGCGACAGTCGCGTGCAAGACATCCAGTTATTATTATACCAATATGAGATCTAATTATACCAAACAACACTTATTATTGTCATTGATGACGAAAGTAATTATTGGCTCCCTTTATAGGTTGAAGCAAGCTCCTAGAGCATGGTATGAAAGATTATGTAAGTTCCTTTTGAAAAATGGTTTTAAACGTGGTAAAATTGATAAAACTTTATTTTTAAAATCAAATGGAACTGGGATGTTTGTACCCCTTCTCTACAAACCCTTTTTCCCTAACTTTCCTCTTTTAATTTTCCTAATCCCATCCCTAATAAAACTTTACTAAATTAAAACTTTCTTTAAATTAAACCCCAACTTAATTAAATTAATTAATTAAATAAACTTTCCTTTTATAATTATTTCCAAACTTATTTAAAATAAACAATTTAAATACTTTAAATAAAACAATTCAATTTAATTAAATACTTCACAAAATACTTATTTTAATTAAAATACGTATAAAAATACGAGGTATTACAATGTATGTATGTTCGTTGAACGAAAGTGCACATGAATATTAATAAGAATTGAGTAGAGACCTATTTTAAGGCGGGTTTAACCTCTTTAAAGGTTGAATTCGTACCATCTTCCCCGAACATCCAATCATGATTCTGGACCACTATGGAGTTAACAAACTTTGTGATAGTGAATGGGGTGTACTTTTCACAATCGTGAACGGTTTACAAGTTCCTAAAATTTGTTGGCGACACTTTTTTCTCTAGCTTCTTCTCCTTGGAGCACCGCCATGCTTAAAGACATGATCCATAGTAGGGCGAGTGAAAATTCCCTACATTTTGTCACATGTTTATCTACTCGTTTCTTTAAGCATATCTAACTTGTTTTATTTTCTTTGGGAAAGCTTCCTTATTGTTTGTGTTATTACATTTGCAATGTTATCAATCTTTGAAATCGATAACTCAAGGGGAAGCCACCTAATACTCTAGAACAAGATATATTTTTTGACTTATTGGCAAACAACAATATTTGCCTCAACAAGATCATACTTTTTTTGTGGGATTTTACAAATTTTGATTTTATTCAAGATTATGAATGTGGGTTTTTGTTAAGGGGAAGCATATCGATTGTTGTTCTTGAAAGTGGTGATAAATCTGATTATGATAGATTGGGGGGAGGGGGCTCTGATTGGTTGGTTATGGTGATGATAGTAGCAAAAAATGAAAAGAGGAGATAGGGGGGGTTGTGATGGGTTGAGGTTGGTGAATTCGGGTTGAATTTGAGGTTTTCGTGGTGGAATTGTTCGATGGTTGATGTTTACTTTGGGTGGTGGCTAGGTTTTCGGGACTAGGGGGTGTGATCTTTGGGGTCAGGGTTGGGTTTCGGAGCGGCAAGAGGGTAGTGTTGGGGTTTTGGGATAGCTGGTGGGTAGGGCTTCAAGGCAGCATCACAGGCAACATGGGGGTTTTGGGGCAAAGGGAGGGACTGTCAACAAGTGGTTTTTGGGTGGTGGCTATCATGGAAGGGAGATAGGAGGAGAGTAAATTTTTTTTTTTTTTAAAAATAAAATAATTTTAACCAGTTTAACAAGTTATAGGTCAAATGAATCTTTAAATGAAGATTAGGGACAATGGTGAAATTGTTTTAAAATAATCCGAATGTTTGATTTTTAATTTCCATTCTTCAAAAAAAAAAAAAGGGTTTTTCTACATTATAACCCTCTAACTTTCCGTTTTCTACGATGTGCCCCCCTTTTTGAGAAATCTACATTGTAACCTCAAAATACATTTAGCTTCTATACGGTAACCTTGCCGTTATATTGTCGTTAACAAATTCCGTTAGTGGGACCCACTCACCACTTAATAATATTTTTTATCGATTTGCGTGTTGAAAATGGTTTCGTTTAAGGTTTTGGGGGCTATTTTGGCCCTAAAGATTCCATATGAGCTCAGATTTAGCAAAAAAATAACACAAATGCCTCGTATTGTATATTAAGAAATGTCTCGAAATGTGTGTATGTATTTAATACGCAAAACGAGACATTTCCGTCATTTTTTTGTCAAATTTGAGCTCAGTTTGGATCCTTAAGAGCCAAAATAGCCCCCAAAACCTAAAAAGAAACCATTTCCAACACACAAATCGATAAAAAAATATATTATAAAGTGATGAGTGAGCCCCACTAACGGAATTTGTTAACGGCAATGTAGATTTCTCAAAAAGGGGGGCATATCGTAGAAAACGGAAAGTTAGAGAGTTATAAGTGTAGATAAACTCAAAAAAAAAAATTTTACACCCCACCTTTCTTGGTATTTGAAAAAACCTTCCTTGGTAATTATATTTCCTCTCCTTTCACCACCTTCCTTTCTTACCTCCTGTAAACCCCACGAACACCACCACCACCACCACCACAATCCATCTCCATCCATCTTTATTTCACCCCCCCCACAATTAAAACCTAGAATTTCAAACTCAATTACTTTTCTATTTCACTCCACCAAAAACCTCTCTTCTCTTTAATCCGCTGAGTCTAAAATTGCTCTCCAAATCGCTCTGCTAGGGGTTTTGTGCTACTCGACAACGCCAAATAGGGAACAATTTTTGCGACAATCGCTTCTACTAGTTGCTTCAATTGTTGAGTGACATTATTTTTTGCGACGGCTCGGGTTTTGTTGTTGGTGCCCGGAGCTGGTTAAAGGTTTTTACTTTTCGGTGTCGCGGCCGGGTTTTTGTTTTGTTGATGTGAAGGTGGCAATATGAGTAATGATGTGTTTGATGGTAAGGTATTATCTGAGAAGTTGTCTAAACTTAACAATTCTCAACAAAGTATTGAATGTATCCTTTTGCAAAATTCCCTTTTATTTATTTTATTTTATGCAAATTAATTACATACAGTAGTTTAGTTATAATTGTCTGTGTTATCATTTATTTGTGTCTCAATTTTGTTGCTTTACTGTGATTGTTAACGATATTCAGGTGTTTCTGTTAATTTTGGTATTTTTTTGTACTTGAACTTTGCAAGGGTTCTGAAGGGTTTTAGGTTAGTTAATTCGGTCTGAGACGCGTTCGTTGACATAAACATTGTTATTGAACTTGTTGCTAAGACATTTGTTACTGGATAAATGTTGATGTGACTTATTTTCCATATTTATGCTTTTTAGTGGCGTTGAGTTTTGGCTGTCTAAGGCTTTCAGGTTGCTATTTAGTTCTTATTGTTGCTTTTTCGAACTACTAGAAGTATCGAGTGGACTTTGAGGTTGTAGTCTTGCAGATTTAATTTTTATTTCAAAATGATCACTGTATATCTCAAAACATGTTGATAGGCTTTAACAAAGATTCAAATCATTTGGTAACAATATATTTAGTGTCTGGAGGGTGGATTAGACAACAATAAATGAAAGGACTTTATTATTGGAATTTTGGAGTCTTTTAATCTCTTAGGTTATCATTGGAGGATACTTGTAGGAGTAATGCTATTTGAGATCTAGTAATTGAGGTTTGCCAATTGGACAATAGAAAGGTTGGATGAAAGAGGGATTATTATACCTTTTTCTCTTTTTTGAGATCTACACTGAACATTACTGTCTTTAGAGCATTCCCATATATTTGTGTTCCTTTTTTAACTTTAAAAACAGATATGTGGGAGAGATAGGAGAATAACTTAAGCTGTTAAGAGAGAATATTCTGCATTATGTGTCAAGTTATACTTATGACCACCAGGTTTCAGTCTTTGAACTTGCAGCTTCTCATTTGCTCAGAAGCTATGCTTTTTAATTTTTTCCGTCAATAAATGATTTCTACTACTCCGTGTACCATTAAGGTGTTCTCTTCTGCTGTTATATAAAAATGTGCCGAACTTATTCTAGCTGGCAGCTTAGTGTTTGAGGAAGCTGAGAACTGTTGGTAATATGATTAGTCTTTTTGAATGTGTAGTTTAGGAGATTAGCATTTGGAAGTGGGTTGTTTAGGGTTAGATTAAGGGTTTATGGTGGATATTTATATTGGAAAATAGGGAGCTAGTGCTGCAGATTAAAGTAGCTCATATAATATGTTTGGATATTGTTTCCAACGTAAGTTGTTCAGTAGAGTTGGCTTTGTTTAGCTATTATTTTAGGTTAATTTACCTTGGGTGTTAACGTCTATTCACACTTCCAAAATTCAAGTTGCTTTAAGAAGGTAGTTATCTTACACAGTGCTAGAAGAGTACATGGGTATTCAGCTAAAGTCAAATGTGTGGAATTAACCGATATTCAAGTAGTTTGCATGCTCAGAGGTATGTAATTATTAGTTCTAGTTCCATTATGTTCCGGGAGTACCTTTTTTTGCTTGTTTTAAATGCAAGTACTTTCTTTTGATTAATGTTAAGAGTTGGAAAGGAACTTTAGAGCCTAATCTTCAATAATAGTGAAGCATGATTTGGAGTTTGCCTTATTTTTGGCTTAATTGAAACAGATCATTTCAGTTTAAAAAGCATTTCAAAAAGCTTCATCTTGATCGAAAATCTATATCATCCATCATGGAATAACAAATTTTGATGATATGAAATTGTAAATGAAATCTAGTTTTGTTAATTTTGATGAGTGTTATTGTGTGTGCGGTAGCAGGCTTTAATGTTATGTTGAGGTAATCACAAGTTAATGTTCTTTTATGAGACTGCTAATGTGAAGAGAAGAGTGGAATTCAACTAGGGTATATTCATGATAGAGAAATCAGTGAACTCACCTTGTTTTTTGAGGTTCTACTACCATTATTATTGGAAGTACAGCAATCTAGGAGGTCGATGGGGGATCCAAAGGGCACTTACTCTTGGAAGTCATTTTTGGTTTGTCTATCTTTGCCAATGAGGAGCCCCTTTTCCCAATTCACAATACATTTGGAAGGCTAGAATTCTACAAAGATGAGACTATTTGAGTTTTTGCGTGGACCTTGGGGTTGTGCAGCACTACTACTTTTATGGTCCAAAGGAGAAGACCAAAGATAGCTATTTCATCAACTATGTGCATCTTGCCATTAGTTAATCTTGCTCTCATCCCTTTTGTCATTGTGAGAAGACAAGTAAATTTTATTTATCCTTTACTGTTTTGCATTTGCTACAACTTCTGCTACAAGTTCACTTTGTGGGCTTGGAAAGGAAAATGTAAAAATTATATTGTGCTTTAATGCTTTTAAGGTGATCTTGTGGTGCATTAATACAAAATGCAGTCATCTCATACATTGATCAATTGGTTTATTATGGGATAGCAACATAGCATTATACTTTTAGCTTCTTTGTGTATCAAGTCAGCAGGGGCTTTTAAGGTGTGTTCTATTCACCTAAATTTCATTTATTAGAATATATATGATCTGAACTTATTAAAACATATTTTAGTTGTGATTTGAACTTGGTTAACCCTTATCAAAACTTTTCCTTAATTGAACTTATTTGAATGAATTGTACTTATTTGTACTTAACTCTGAAATACGTGAAAATAAGGTGAACATAACTAGCCCTTAGGGCCTTAGTAACACAACTAGCTAATATGTATTCTGTATTTGACTGTTTGGGACAACTTTTCATCTATTCTTGTATTCTTGTTATCAAATTTTGTGCTTTATCAAAAGTAAAAAAACTAATTATCATCCAAATTTAAGGTGTTGATCAATGATTATGAGTCTTGTGATGCTTTATTGACCATACACATAGCTTTGTAGGAGATTTTCTTCTCTAAATGCTAGATTATTTCAAGTGGGGAGTAACAAAGGTGTTATTAAGACCCATTGTGGAGACATTCTTTGGAATCTTAGCTAGAGTAGAAGTAAGATAGAATATTCGGACTTTTGGAGTGTAATTTAAAGTTAGAAGCAAGAAGGCAAAGTGATCTTTCAAGGTGTTGATTTCTTTAGCTATTCTATTATCCAAAAAAGACGGGGAATTTATTGAAGATGTTGCTTATTGAAACAAAGCAAGATGGCTGAAGTGAAAGAGTGCTACATAGTTTTTGTAGTTTATGTGTTATCCTAACATGCCTCTGTAGGTTAAGGGAAAACTTTAGGATAAGACAATTAAACCTTCAACTGTGACATTGTCATATGTATGTTGTGTTGGATGTAGGGTGACTATGGTCATACTCATATCAATTGGTTATGGAATGAGGTAATTAGGAACATAGTCTGGGTTGCGCCTAATAAGTATAAGATGAGCGAGAATCACTTAAGATGGTTTGGTCATGTAAGATAGAGATCTATTGAGGTTAAGAGCCTAAGAAAATCTGGATGAGGGAGATTAAAAGTAATATTGAGCTTATTGGGAATTTAGGAACACATGATGTTTGATAGAGTGGAGTGGAGGGAGATAAATAAAAGAATAAGTGTCAAGGATATGCCATGACTTTTATACGTATTTATTCTCTCAAATTCATTTTCAATCTTTTTATGTTAATCTTTGTATTTTGCAAATTTTTTCTTCCTTACGCATGTCTTATTATCTTTTGCTCTTTTTTTCCTCTTAAATTTTTCATTTGTTCTCTTAACATTTTATCATTTTTACTTGTATTATTATTATTTTTTTTGATTTTTCTTACTTATAACAATTATTTTCATTCCCCCTTTTTTTCTCCACATTTGTTTTTCTCCTCTTTTTATAAAACTTGTCGCTAGCCTATTCTCAGCTTGATCTTTTGTGTTTTACTATTCCTGATTTTCTCTTCTAAGGGACCATTCTATCTATGGGAGTTTGATTACTGAAAAGAAGTATTTTATAACTGTTTTACCATGTTCTTCTTTACTTGAAACTCCATACTGACTCCAAGTAATTTAGATACTTTATTTCTAAACCCATTAGCATGTTTGTTTAAAGAACATGCATGCCATCCAAACTCAAAGCTGGAGTACTGTATGACTTACTAGTACATTTCAAATTGGGTGCTGTAGAAGCAATTAGGTTTATTTAATAGATTCTATTTTATAGATAATTTATACAAGTTTCTGAATTTCTCTATGAATTTATACAAATTCTGCAAGTTATGCTATTCTTGTTGCTGTGACTATCTATATGGCATCCTGTTTTCTTTAACATGAGATCAGCATTGTCTCGGTGGTGTATTTCCAATCGGAAGAAAGCAAGGCAGATTGTTGAAACATGGGAGAAAATGTTCAACTCTTCTCAAAAGGAAAAATGTGTTTCTTTTCTATTTCTTGCAAATGATATATTGCAAAATAGCCGGAGAAAGGGCAATGAATTTGTGAACGAGTTCTGGAAAGTTCTTCCAGCTGCACTTAAGCTTGTATATGACAATGGCGATGAAAGTGGAAAGAAAGCAGCGAACAGACTGGTTAGTACTAAGTTTGACATCAATGCTATACATTTGTCATTTTCTACACAAACTTGCACATAGCTAACATAAGTGAAGTAATTTTGTGTTATTTATCAATTTTGTTCTCATGTATAAGCAATATCACTTTTTTTTTTTTTTTTTACATTCAACATGGTGCATCCCCCTCCCCTCCCCCCCTCTTTTCTCTGCGGATTTCTTTCTTTCTTTCTTTAAGCTCTGTATCTAATCATAAATCTGTATCCATCTATTAATTTCATTTACATGTAATAGCAATTTGACTTGCTTTTCTGCACCCAATTGAACGTCTTCTGTTAGGTTACATTGTCTAGTAACTTTCTATCTTTAAGTTCTGAACTCTTTCCTGTGTCACTTAATGATAAATGATTAAATTCGTGAAGTTTCATCCATGAACTCTGTAGTACTGAATAATTAACAAGTAGCCTTATACAGCTTCTTTGAAGGTGAATATATTCCATTTTTGGATTGCTTCTTCTTTTTCGCCTTTTTTTTTTTTCAATTCAAAGCAGGCAAATTTCCACCTGCCTACCTTTTTGTAATTTTGGGAGAAAACGAATGCATTCAAGTGTTTTATATCTAGTCTATTTGTTTTAAGTAGCTCTTGTGTATGAAAAGTTTATGGTAAGATTTGGGGTGACTTAATGGCATATGAGATGACTTTTATTCGTCACTTAAAAAAAGATCAAAATATGGATTGCCATTTTCTTAGATTAGACTATTGAGTAATTTGAGTGTCCTAAACAGTTCTTTATCTTTGTTTTCCTTTGACATATAGAATGTGTACACTTTTATAAATCACCAAATACTAAACTATACAGTAGCCAACAACTACCTCATAACTTTTTACAAACAATAAACTAGATAATATGTATGTAAGTTAAACTGATAAGGTTTTTTTTTATTTATTTATTTTTTTATTTTTTTTTTATTTTTTTTTATTTTTTTTTATTTTTTTTATTTTTTGGTTTTTCGTTTTTGTCTGTGCACCACTTGTTGACGACTCTGATACTCAATTTATTTTCGTTGTGGGCTAATAGGATGAATAATTGAAATTTTGGTGAGCAAATTTGAACCACTTATTCATAGAAATTAGTGATATGGAGGGAGATGGTGTACATTAAGTCAAGCTGATGGATGAAAGGAGTTGTTTTGGATTCTTTTGTGACAACATTTCATAGTCTTGTGCAATAAGAACTAACCCCTTAAATTCTAGGAAATTTTTGTAATGTATATGGTTGTCAATCCATCTTTTCTGTATGACACTAAATGTTAGCCAATCAAGCAGATGCTAGATTTCAAGCTACTGGTGTTAAAAGGAGGATGCTTTGTTGGATCTATTACCTTGTTAGAAAAGATAGGATAAAGAATGAAGTGACAAGAAATCAAGTTGGCTAATCCTGTTGTTGGTAGACAAGACAAGTGAGGCTTTGGTGCTCTTGGTGTGTGTGGAGAGAAACTACCTAGATGTCTTACCTAGGGTCAAAAGGAAAATTTGAAATTCAACATAGACATGTTAGTTAGAAATGCTGATCCAATTGTACATATCTTCTGTCTTTCCATCAACCTTATATCTGATCCCGTCCATATATTAAAGTATGCTGCTCACTTCTTTTAATCCTTGGTTGCACTCAAACCAACCAAGAACACTAATGAACTTGGTATTGTTGAACCTCCTTTGTTTCCTTTATCTCCAACACCAACCAAAGTTTTCAGCACCTCAAACTATCATGCTAACTTCACGAAACTCAAGCTAATCTTTTCTTCAACTGTCTCCACATTGTATACATCATTAATCCAGTCGAAGCTTAATTTATATAGGTCTAGTGGTGATTTTGTTTAATTCAAATTTGTTTTTGAGAACACTAAGACTGGAGTAGGGCATGGCCCTTAAGAAGTCTAGGACAATCAATTTGTAAGCCATGGATTCATCATGAAGTATCAACTGGAGGAAGTCAATTCACTGTTCATAACTTGATAAATATTGCACAAACTGTGGTTGATATCCAGGCAAATACCGTATAAAATGTGTATAGAAATTTAGTCTATAAGGATTTTGTTTGCCTACATAGTTTTGATTTTAAATTAAATTTTAAAACTTTTTTTGGCTTTTTAAACAGATTTATTTCTTATTTTACTAAATGAAATATTATCCAGGATCAATTTTATTTGAGAGAAGTTTGAATCGACTATGAACTTATTTATCAAGTTGAGTATACAGTAGAATTTGCAATTCTAGTATCTTCCTAACACATAGTTTGGAACTAAATTTAAATATTTCAATTCAATGATTTGAATTCATTGGGTTGAACCGTTGAAATGAAATCCTGCGATTCAAGCACAACCTTTGGTATTTTGATCTTAAATGGGGCATGCACCTCTTTGATTATTCATGCACAACCTTATGGTATTTTGATCTTAAATGGGGCATGCACCTCTTTGACTATCTTGTAGGTTGACATTTGGGAAGAAAGAAAGGTTTTTGGATCTCGTGTTCAGAGTCTTAAAGAAGAACTGGCAGCTAACCAGATAAAAGATCCAGCCCCACAACCTGTCAGCAATGGAAAGAGCCCTAATCCCATAAAAATTGTGAAGAAGGATGCTCAGTCGTTGAGAATTGTCAGTTTTTTTTGTTTCAACTGGTTTTTCCTGGCTATGTATATTTTGGTTTACCTTGGCTCAAAATTGCTGCTTATTTATCATATTTCAGAAATTGGCTGTTGGAGGATTTCCAGAAAAAATTGTGTCAGCATTTCATTGTCTCCATGATGAATGTTCAAATGAAGAATCTATGCTGGTCAATTGTAATGCTACTGTTAATTCTGTAGAAAGAATTCTGAAGGAAATAGAAGCTACAACAAGTCAAGGTATGTCATGTACCACTCTTGTTTTAGACCTTATGGTCTATCTTCCTACTAGATGGCAGATAAGAGATGCTTTACAACTTTCCATTTGGAAGTTGGAACATTTTATTTCCATTCTCCATTCAATGACTCAGGTTTACTATCATTTCTATCATGTTATATGGGCTGGGTAATTTTCAAGATTGTTATTTTAGGTACTAGTATCATGGTGAGTGATTGTCACATCTTTCCTTTTCATACTCTAAAGATCCCTGTTTTGGTTAGCTCTTTCCACAACACGTGTGGCATAGAATAAGCCTTTGTCTTATAGCATATTCTTCTGTTTGTTTGCATCCATTGTTCTCTAATCCTAGCTACGGTTGTTGGACACTCTTTTCACAATCCATCTGCCCCCTCGTACAGTCCATGGACTTCCTAAGTTGGCACTTTGACAACTCTAAACTACATTACAACCTTTTGGTAAATCAAATTTTTGGAGTACATTCACATCTACATCCAGAATTTTGTCCAAACGTATGTTCACATAGTTTCAGAACCCTGTTATCGGCTTTATACTGATTTTTATACTAGGAAACAATAATACCCGTTGAATCATAAATGGCTTTAATGAGAATGCAGAAATTACGGGTTAGCATTTCGTTTGCCATCCATAAACGTAGATCTGTATAATAGAATTAGGCTTGTTCCAGTACTTGTCACATGTGCAATATTGTAATTTGCCAGTTAACATATCTAACTACACCTTGGAGAAGTGGTGTACGTTAATGATCCAGTATTTTTGTTCCATAATGGCTTTGCTTGGAGGTTGAATGAATCAGGTAACACTGATATAGATCTTAAGCTTTGTGAAAGCCTTAGTTGATTGCATGAAAAATCTAAAGTCAAGCCATAATTTGGGAAAACCAAGGTGCAAAAGGTCCTTGTGGCACAGGCACAATGCCAAAGGAAAAAAGTTACTGCTCTTCTATGGTATTGGGAAAAAGATTCTTGAATGAAAAGAGCTTTGTTTAGACTGATATGTGTTGCTTTGGCTCCAAATGTATGGGCTATGCAAGTTTCAGAATTTTCTTGCCGAATTGTTAATGCTGAACTAGTTTGAATTAATATTTCATTCTCTACTCATCTTTCAGAGGTCTACTTGAATATGAAAGTTCTATTCACAATCTTTTTCATGAGTGATTATTTAGCAAACACCTAATATTTCTTTGATGAAAGTAGGACCTTTACAGAAAATCATTGCCATGAGTTAGGCATGGTGACTATCTCATCTATGGTGCTAGACATCTAAGTCCACCTCTAAAATTTTCCTCTATAATATAATTAGTCCACTTTTTATATTAGATTTTTGGACTAATGTACCTTTTTGTCACAGATTCTGGATTGTGCTCTAGGGCTAGGATTTATTTCTTTATTTTATTTATTATTATGTTTTTGCTTCTCATTTAATTATGTTCACCACTACTCTTGTAAAGAATGTATTAGGTAATATTGATTTATGATTATTTATTGTTTTGTTTAATTTTCTAAAATTGATTGTTTAGGACTTGTTCTCAAATGTATAAGAAAACACTATATTAGATAAAATTTTGACAGAGTCGGCTTAATGTGTATTTTTAATATTTTCATAATTTTTATTATTATGCAATCTAAGATATATATAAAAAAAGAAAAAAAATAAGATCGGTCTAATTTCTTAATTTTTGAAAGCTCGCCTTAGGCGCCCTTAGGTGCAAGGCACAATCAGGTGAAGGCGTAAAGGCTTATTGAAGGCACGCGCCTATACGCTTTTTCTAGGCTGTTTGTGTCTTATTTTGTAAGGCCTTAATAGTTAATGTTTAACATAATCTTTTTTGATTAACACTTGTCTTTGCAATGATTAGATTTACTTCAATATTAGGAGAGAGAGAAGCCCCATACCCCTAATTTCATTTGAAGAACCTAGTCATTGATCACATGCCTTTTTTTAGACTTATTTTATTGAAATTAATTACTCTTTTAATGTAATAAAGTGCGCGTTACAAGTGGTGCACGCCTCTTCCGCCTTGCACCTAGGCTCCAAGCAGTGACGTATCCAGGAATTTCGAACCGTGGGTTCGAAATCTTAAAAAAAAAAACGACGATCATATATTAATTAAATATTAAATACATAAGTTCAAGTTTTGTGATTGATGCCAGGATAAGGATTCGCGGTGGATATTGAATCCGAGGAAGGAGGATAGACAAGTAAGGCACATGTAGTAGTCACGCAAAAAGAAGCAACGACACCGAAAGGGATACAAGAGCACGCATTCGACTAGCTTCCTGCAACCAAGTATAGGCAACCAGGCTGCTTTTTTCAGTTCCTATAAGTTCGAGGAGATTCCAAGCTGGTCATTCGGCAGCTCACTGGTGAATCTAGGGTACCAATTGTCAGAAACTGAGAAACGGAACGCACTTTGTTTCTTTTCCGGGTTTATGGATTGGATTCCTAAGTAGAACGAAAAGGAAGATTTTATCTTTTTGGAGACCCACATTCTACCGAACTGAACTAAGAGCCCCGCCACCTCTTGGCAAAGTAGGCTGATGGGCAAGCTCCCTCCTGTCGCAACGGTGCGGGGCGTCAGAGGCTGGACGATTGCTAGAGGCTGGACGATTGCTTCCATTACTGACCAGAAAGACACCAAATTCTCCTTTAGGTGCTTCAACTGCGGTATAGGTAGAAGAAGATATATAATATCTTCTTCTACTACGGGAGGATTCCTTGAACTAGGTGAAAAACAAGTAGAGGACTTTTGCGACTTCCCGGCACGTTTCCAAAGACTTTAAACTCATGGTAAGTTGGTAACAAAAGCTCTAAAATTTACAATAGTACACAAAATAAACAATTAATTATTTAATTATCTAAACAATCTAATAATTGTTATTTTCAATTTTTAAAGTCTATACTAGTTATAACATTACGACTTGACTACTTCTCTAAATCTATAATTCTATTGCAAAAAATTATATTACACATAAAAGAAAAATCCCAAGTCCCCAATAAACACATATGTGAAGATATAAACGTCTTCTAATTATCAATAAAAAGACCAAGTAAAAATTTAAAATTCTAAGTATCTACAACTCAATTTGTCAACAATTCAAATATACAACAATATATCAAAACCAATTAAACAAATCAGTAATTAATCTTATTATCACTAAATAAGAAAGGTTCATATTTAGTTTTTTGAATGTTAGTCTGAAATTTGAATGTAAGGTGGAAAAAAAAAATGAGGGCAATAGGAATCGAACCCTAACCTATGAGATTCTCGCTGCTCTACAATCAGCTCCTTACCTTTGCGCCAAACTTACACAATAGAATACTTATCTCACATAAATTCTTTTAAACCTTTTTTTTTTTTTTTTTTTTTAAAATTTTTTTTTACAAAATTAAAACTTATAATTTTTTTCCAAAAAATCCGTGGGTTCAATGAACCCCCCCTAGATCCGCCCCTAGCTCCAAGGACTTTTGCACCTCGTGCCTTTTAAAACTAAGTTTAATTCTAACAAGACTAAGTAAAATATATTTGGAATAAAGTGAGTAAGAGTTCAGGTTCTTGGTGGTAAACTTCTGTGATTTAAACTCATTTTCACTTCACAGTTCACATTACTTTCTTTTCCCTCTTGGCACCCTAACCCTCACCACCTCCCTGCCATTTGACCAAAGCACTACCACATCATGTGACTTCCTCAGTCACCAAATTAACCCCATCCCTATCTGAATGTCAGCACCTTCATCACCAGATCTTATATGATTGTATTTTGCTATCGAGTTTTCTCTAGTAAAAAATTTAACGGTGCTTAATACCTTGCTGCGAATTTCTGCTATAAATGACTTCATTTTATGATGGAAGTTTGTGTTTAAGATTGGCCCATTTCCCATTCTGTTATCCCATCTCAAGCCCTTTCCCATCTGCCATTTTCTACATACAACTATGTAAACTAGCTCTCCTTTTCTCTGTAATGTCATTATGCTCTAATTAACTGTTAATTATTAAAATTGTTATTAATATCCAATTTTAGCCGTAACTAACCCTTTAGAAGAAGTTTGGATCCTTAATAAGTAAAGCTATGTTACAGGGACTTGCCAGCTTTCATGCCATAACTGTGATAACATGACATGGTGTGGATATGTGTGAAATTCGTGTCAGACCCAGCACTGTGCACTTGGGATAAACAACACAGAAGTTAGAGGGAGAAGTGAATTTAATCCAAATTGTTTATAGGGACCAAACCATAAAGCCTAGATTGCAATGGGTTATAGAAGACATTTACTAAGCTGAGGAAGATTGGGATTTTGCTCGCCTGAGTTATGTGTTATGTGATTCCACCGGTGAATTCACCGGTACATTGTTGCATGTTGTAGCGTGATATTAGAGAGAAATAGGTAGAAGGAGCATTAACTATTTCCTGTTATCTTGGGGTAGGAACTAGGAAGTGTTTAATAATTACAAAAAAGAAAAAAAAAAAGAAAAAAAATAGAAAGAGAGAGAGAGAGAGAAAAAGAAGGGAGCAATACACTATGCATCTTGCTGGCCAGCTAGCTAATACTTAAAACTAAATCTTTAAATATAACCATCTCCACCATGAAATTGTTCCGTTGGCAGCACCTATTTTTTTCTCCACTTTTTAGCACCCTTCCCCATTTTGTCTTCTATTGTTTTACTTCTTTTTTTTAATTTTTTTTTTTTTTTTTTTTTTTTTCTTGCACTCCTCCTGCCTTACATTTTTTATATGTTACAATATATATGTGTGGCCTTATATCTGACTCCAGATCTCAGACAAAGTCCTTGTGTCTTGATTTTTTTGGAATTGTCACACCAGACCCTTTGATCCCCATACTTGACAAGGCGTGTCCCGGTAACACAGAATTAAAAATTCTTTCTTAACTTACACAATTAAGAAGTCTTCCTCTCTCTCTCTATATATATATAAACAACAGCAACAACAAAGCCTTAGTCGGTTAGTCCCAATATGATTTG